TATGCTGTGCAAAGATTCAATCAGTTTAATTTTGGCCATTACAAGAAGTGGGTTATTGTAGTAGACAAATCCTTTACAGCTCATCTTATGTATGTTATTACCAAAGAAGAAGAAAAAGCCAGTATGTCACTCAATACTGCAAAGTTCTACAGAATTTGAGGTTGGCTGCAATAGGGACATAGTATCTTTAAAACAGGCTACATCCCTATCAAAATCGGCCCGGTGCCGTCTTAGCTAAAGTCTGTGAAATGTCCCATAAGATTAACGCCCTCTATACTTAAAATAGGGGTCATACCATAAATACAAACCAGAAGCAATGAAAGTTCATATTCATGAAAAAGATGTCAGCCCAGGCGCGGATCCAGGGGGGGGGGCGAGCAGGCCCCCCCCCCCCGCAAAAAAAAAAAAGGAGAGAGAGAGAAGGAAAAGAAGGGAAAGGGAAAGGAAAGAGGAGAGAAAGGGAAAAAAGAAGAGGAAGAAGAAAAGAAAAGAGGGAAGAAGGAGATCGGGGGGGGGGGGAGGACTTGCCTCCCAGGCTGTTGCCTTCCCCCCCCCCCCCCCCCCCCCCCCCCCCCCCCCCCCCCCCCCCCCCAATCAAAAAATAAAAGAGAAGGAAGGAAAGGGAAAGAAAAAAAAGGAAAAGAGGAGATAAAGGAAGAAAAAAGAGGAAGAAGAAAAGAAAAGAAGGGGGATATCAGTTGCAATTTTCCCGCCAACAAGTTGTGGATCGGGGGGGGGGGGGGGAGAGGGGGCAAAAGGCCCTTGCTCCCCCCCCCCCGTCCCCGCTAAAAAAAGAGAGAAGGAATGAAAAGGAAAAGAGGAGAGCTAAAAGGGAACAAAAAAGAGGAAGAAAAGAAAAGGGAGAAAAGAAGGGGAGATCAGTTGCGGTTAATCCCGTCAACAATGTGTGGAGCGGGATGCATGGGGATTCCACCTAGGACCCTAAGGCGGGCCCTTAGATGCTCATCTGACGGTAATTTAATGCCTAAAACCCTTGATTTCTGGAGGCTCTGCCCCCTGGACCCAACCAAGATCCCTAAGGCGGGCCCCTTGATACTAATCTGACCGTAATTGAGTGCCTAAAACCCTTGAGCTTCCGAGGGCTTCGCCCCCTGAACCCCACGCCAATTAATGACCTGCCAGTGTCACAATTAGGTACCAAAATAATGGTCATCTGACCGTAATTAAATGCCTAAACCCCTGAACTTCCGGGGCTCTGCCCCTGGACCCACCTAGGGCCCTAAGGCGGACCCCTGAATGCTAATCTGACCGTAAATTATTGCCTTAAACCCCTGAGCTTCCGGGGGCGGACAAGGTATCAACATATGTTCATCTGACCGCAGGCGCGTAGCCAGGGGTGGGGTGGGGGGGGGGGGGTGGGGGTAAGGTAGTCCCCCCAAAAAAAGAGATAAGTGAAAAGGAAGAAGACGTAGGAAGAAAAGGGAGTAGACAAAGAACATTTTTGAAATTCAGACAGAATTAAGAGTCGAGAACGGTACAACGAATCGTCTTCTTTCTCTAATAATTTAATAAAACGTCAAAGCTTCCGCGCTTCGCGCAGGAAGGTGGGGGTGAAACTTAATTCAGACAAGGATTAAGAGTCGAGAACGGTACAACGAATCGTCTTCTTTCTCTAATGATTTAATGAAACGTTAAAAGCTTCCGCGCTTCGCGTGGGAGGGGAGGGGGGGCTGAATTTAGACGAGGATTTAAAGTCATAACGGTACAACGAATCGTCTTCTTTCGCTAATGATTTAGTGAAACGTAAAAGCTTCCGCGCTTCGCGCGGGAGGGGAAAAATAAATTCAGACGAGGATTATTTTCGAGAGCGGTACAACGAATCATCTTCTTTCTCTAATAATTTAATGAAACGTCGAAGCTTCCGCGCTTCGAGCGGGAGGGGAGGAAACTGAATTTACATTTAAGTGTCGAGATGTACAACGAATCGTCTTCTTTCTCAGATGATTTAATGAAACGTAAAAGTTTCCGCACTTCGCGCTGAAGGGGGGAAACTAAAATCAGACGAGGATTATTTTCGAGAGCGGTACAACGAATCGTCTTTTTTCTCTAATGATTTAATGAAACGTAAAAGCTTCCGCGCTTCGCGCGGGAGGGGGGGGGGGAACTGAAGTTAGACGAAGATTAAAGGTACTATGTCCCATTTGCAGGCCAAAAAATGAAAAAGTTAAATTCCAACTGCATTTGAAAGATAATACTAATTTAGAACTTCCCAAAAAAAGGTGGGGCTTAAAAATGTCTTCAAGTGGGAAAATAACGACTATTAGTTGTCAAATCGACTTAATAGTCTTGATTTTCAGACAATTTCACCGAATAGTCATACGTTTTATGCTGCGCAAAGATTCAATCAGTTTAATCTTGGCCATCACAAGAAGTTGGTTAGTGAAGTAGACAAATGCTCATGTACCCTTTACAACTCTTTTCATGTATGTTATTACCAAAGAAGAAAAAAAAGCCAGTCAGTCACTCAATAGTGTCTGACAGTGAAGTCTAGCAAGTAAACGGATTTCCTTGCATAATTTGAATATGAGGACACTGCTAACGTTTAAATTCTACAGATAGGACATACATGACATATTCATAATTCCTGCAAAGTTCTACAGCATTTGAGGTTGGCTGCAAAAGGGACATAGTACCTTTAAGAGTTGATATTGACACAACGAATCGTCTTCTTTCTCTAATGATTTAATGAAACTTAAAAGCTTCCGCGCTTCGCGCGGGAGGGGGGGGGGGGGGAACATTATTCAGACGAGGATTATTTTTGGGAACGGTACAACGAATCGCCTTCTTTCTTTAATAATTTATTGCATTGTCGAAGCTTTCGCGCTTCGCGGTGGAGGTAGGAAAAAAACTGGCCCCTCCCTGCACCCCCCCCCCCATTACGTCACTGCTGGTCACTATTACGTACCAATATTTGGCTCGCATAATTTCAAATTTGGGCCTCCCCCCTAAGAAATCCTGGATCCGCGCCTTGTCAGCCACCTGGATAAATGATTTATTGAAACGCTAGACGGCGGGGGGGGGGGGGGGGGGTGGGGATAGGTTGTTGTTCTCTTATGTACCTGTCCGGTCTGTTCACGATCACGATTTTCACAAATACGGCGCCTCTAATGATGTACGTCGCTATGCAGTATGCAAGCCCTGATTTAAAGGCAGTATCCGCTAGTGAACAAGGTCATGTAAGATTAGGTGAAAAATAAAGGTGGTGGCGGGGGGGGGGGGGGTTGTAAAGCGCATAGTCATGCCTGCCTACAACGATAAAATAGAATCGCACTAAATAATGGATAAAACAGTTGGGACAGCAAGATCATAATGTTGAGAAGATGTGAAAAGATATATTCGCTCAGTGGGGGGGGGGGGGGGGGGTAGGTTGTTGTTCTCTTATGTACCTGTACGGTCTGTTCACGATCACGATTTTCACAAAATACGGCGCCTCTAATGATGTACGCCGCTATGCAGTATGCAAGCCCTGATTTAAAGGTGGTATCCGCTAGTGAACAAGGTCATGTAAGATTAGGAGAAAAATAGAGTATTGAATTAAAATTTCAATTAAATTATTCCAGCCGGATGTTCTGTGATAGCTTTCCACTTTTAAATTGAAAAAGATAATCAAAAAAGTAATTCCAGAATAAGTCGATTTGAAAACACCATACGGCCTGCCTTTGCAGTTGGTCTTGCTATTGCCCGACCTTCATAATGTATGAGCGTATATTTTAAAAAACCTATATCGTTGTAAAGCGCATAGTCATGCCTGCCTACAATGGCTCCAACGATAAAATAGAATCGCATTAAATAATGGATAAAACAGTAAGGACAGCAAGATCATAATGTTGAGAAGATGTGAAAAGGTGGCGAGAGAAGAAAAATGGGTGCAATGGTTAGATTATACGGAGGATATTTGTTTGCACGGAAAACGAATTTCTAGTTTTGCGTCAGAAAATCATTTCCTCTTTTCATGCAAAAAACTAATGGTCTTCAGGGTTACACTAATGATTGCGTGTATTCTGATTGTTTAGTACAATATACAAACTATTTTGAATATATGGCAGATCAAATATTGATCAAAACAGTAGGTCTATTGGCAATGTAACAAAATTCCTTAAAATTGTGTTCATGCACTGTTCTCACTAAAACACCAGCTGTGCACTTGAGGTTCTTGTCTGGCACAAGGCATACTTCCCACCGAGTTTACGGGCCCAAGAAAGGGAAGGGGGGATTTTTTGTCATTTAATTTCCGCAGTGCTGAGTAAATGCCCTAAATTAGAAATATGATATTAATTGCGGGGGGGGGGGGGCATATAGCTTGAGTTACTTAAAGCTATTTTTACATTCCATTTCTTTTTACGTAATTATGCAAATCTGTTTCCTGATGCAATAGAGTACTAGTGAACTTCGCCTTTGTTGAAGCGGTACTCTCTAAAAAAAAATCGAGTGATCACGGACGTCACTCCTCTGGAGAGTGAAAATGTAGTGAAAATAGAGTGAACATTCACTCTGTTCTTCTTAGAGAGCACTCTAAAATCAATCGATTTGCACTCCTAAACAAGTGATCACAGACGTCACTCCCAAGAAAGTGAAAATAGAGTGAAAATTCACTCTTTTTTTTAAAGAGAGTATTGCTAGTAGTATAGCATCCTCCGATGTCGGCGGCGCTCTCCACTTTGTATATCAATATGACAAACAGATGCTTCGGCCTCATACACGTAGGCCCCTATTGAAAGAAAATGGGAAATGGGGCCTTCATTAATTTGATATTAACTGACCCAATCTCTCCCCCGCCTTCTCTCTCTCTCTCTCTGTCTCTCTCTCTCTCTCTCTGTCTGTGTCTCTCCTCTTTCTCTCTCTCCCCTCTCTCTTTTTCTCTCTCTCTCTCTCTCTTTCTCTCTCTTTCTCTCTCTCTTTTCTCTCTCTCTCTCTCTCTCTCTCTCTCTCTTTATATATATATATATATATATATATATATATATATATATATATATATATATATATATATCTTTATACCAGGTTTGGACCCTGCAGGCCCAGGGTTTGGCGGGAAACGGGTGAGGAACTTCTGTCGTCTAGACAAATCCGATGCAACTTTTGTTGACGTCATACACACTGACGGTGAACTGATCGCAATGGGAGGGCTTGGGCTCATGGATGAGGTAACTATGGAAACTATTGTAAAAGATGTTCCTCTTTTTTGTGATTAAAGAAGGGGAAATCAGAAAAGGGCTACATGACGTTAAACGTAGGCCAATTTGGTAGTACAGGGGTACTATCTCTACCCCCCTCATTTTCGCCTTCCCCCCGCCTCCCACCCATCAACTCTCTTTATCTATATCTCTACCTCTGTCTCTGTCTGTCTGTCTCTCTGTCTCTCTCTCTCTGTCTCTCTCTTTCTCTTTTTCTTTCTTTTCCCCTCTTTCCTACTTTTCCACGTTTTACGCCTCCCCCCCCCAAAAAAAAACAACAACCAAACCTTGGCGGGGGGCCAGGGGGCACATTATTTTCCGGGGAAAAAAAGAAGGATTTTCAGGATTTTTATTGACTTACCAACAGACCGACTTATTTTTTGAGTCATTATTCAGGTCTCAAATTGAAAGGAATCTTTAGTGTATTCCTGGGAATTTCAAGGGTAGAAACAAGGGCGGGTTGTGGTCTCCTAAGTTTGCCAGTATTTCCCTATATTCTCTGAACACTCAGTCGCTTCTTTGTCCTAAATCTTTCACAGCTTGGCCACCAAGATTTCTACCCCAACGGAGGGACGGACATGCCCAATTGCTACTTCAGCATCATCTGCGACCATATGAAAGCCATTGCATACTACACCGAGAGCATCTCCAAAAGTACCCCATGCCGCTTCAGGCCCACCACTTGGGCACCTAAATGGGACAACTACAAGAAGGGAATACAAACCCGGGACTGTCGGAACATGGCTTGTCCCGATATGGGTTACACTGCAAGTCCCATTCATGACGAAGGCGTGTTTTATCTCAAAACAAATAAAATATTATCCCTTCTGTCAAGGGTGATAGGCGATTTCAGGAAAATTACCACAAAATGGAAGTACGAAAGAAACAAACATCAAAACTCTTATGTACACTTTGTTTAAACGTTGTGATGAAGATCTGGGCCCTGTATTATAACGAGTTGATATCAATCGCAAATTATTTGCGATTGATATCAATCGCAGCTATGTACACAAGAGATAGGAGATTGCAAACTTGCGATTGATCGGAGGACTTACGATTGATTTGGATCAATCGCAACTCTTTGTAAGACGGACCCTGTAGATGCCTACTATTAAAATGATAAGAGATACATTATATACATATCGAAGTAATTTCTACTTCTTTTCACCTTCGAATGTATCCACGGTCTCGCTCCGTCATTATTATCTGAACTCCTGGGACCCGTTTCACAAAGCCTTTTTTCAAAGACAAATGACAAAAATCAGTGACAAATCTGCTAATAGCCTATCAGAAGCAAGGATTTCAGTAGGTTATAACAAAAAATGTCATTTGTCTCCGACGACAAGTTTTGTGAAACGCCCCCTGCATACATGTAAATACCAGGCAGTTTTCCCGTGCTCCCTTCGCTCCTCTCAAGGGCATCATGCTACCAACCCTTGGTGACAGAGCATTCACAACTCCTGCATCAAAACTATGGAATAATCTACCCAGATTCGCAACCAGCACTTTTAAATGCCTTCCAAAAATATCACAAAAGCTCACCTCTTCTGATAATAACATTATTGTAAAGTGCTTTGAATATTGTTGTTATGATTATTACCATTGTTATCATTATTGCTATTATTATTTCTTCTCTTCTTATTATTTTTATTATCATTATTTTTGTCTTCATTTTAATATGCCGTGAATTCCTATTGTTTTTGGCCTGTTTATATTATCATATTTTGCTGTTGCTGTTATCATAAGTTAAAGAGCTGCATGCACTTCAAGTGTACGCTTACGCTGCAGCTCTTCTGCATTTTGCTATGTCAATCGTTCCCAACATTTTGTTGAACAAATAATAGTCAATGACGGTGATTCACCACTATGTACAAAATGTTCAGATTGTTACTGGTTATTATTGTATGAAAAATTGAGAAATCAATCAACCGAACCAAAATCAAATCAACTTATTATCATTATTATAACACAATGTTTGTGTGTTTTTTCTGTTAAACTGCTACCTCAACATATTTCATTTAACCCATTGCTACACTGGAACCGAGTGGCCCCTGTATTAAGCCTATAGTAATGAATAATTAAATTTGTCAATAGGTAATGTGAAAATACAATTTGAAATATGTCAAGTGTAGTCAGTGTATCTTTTGTAATAATTGATCATTTTCTTCTTCTTTTATCACCATTATCATTTTCTTTATGTTTTCCTTCGAGTCAGAGTTAGAGCCTCAACAGTTAAAACAAAACCTGTGTGTAAGTAAACCATTCAACCTAACTGACATTAAAAAATAAACATACAAAACTTTGGATACGTAAATTTGAATGATTTAGATGTAATTGAAAGTGTTTCAAATTATAATTTAAACATATTTTCAGGGTAATAAGGATCAAAATAGAAACACGAAATTTAGGAAAATCAAAAACAAAGCATTGGTGAATGGATATAAAATGAATAAATGAATAAATTGATGAATGACTGATGAATAAATAATAAATTGATGAATGACTGATGAATAAATTAATGGATGGATGAATTGATGAATAAAAGAATGAATGTTGGAAAAGTGTAAAAATGTCATTCATATATGGATGTTAATAATAATCTTAAGCTAATCGATAGTGAGCGTGCATTTTGGGTTATCGGAACTTCACAACAAAATTTCAAAATAAGAGTTGGATCCTCCAATGTGAAACCCTTTGTTACAGCAAGGAATTTAGGAGTATACTTTGATACTAATTTGAACATGGAAACACAGTCATGTTAGAAATATATGCAAATCAACATACTATCTTCTATACAATCTCAGACGTATCCGCAGATATTTTGATCAAGAAAGTATGAAATTGGTTCGATATGCTCTCATCACAAGTAAGCTTGATTATTGTAATGGTTGCTGATTGGAATGCCTGATTCTCTGATATAGCTAGGTTACAAAGAGTCCGAAATGCATGCCCAGGTCGAAAAAACAGTTAGATACCAGTTGAACCAACTGGTACTGGTACCAGTTGATTCCAATTTGTGAACTGGATTCAATATGGATATTGGAATACTGGAATCAACTGGTAACCAATTGATTCCAGTTGGACCAGTTGTCAACTGGTACCAGTTGATTTCAGTTAAGTGAACTGGTTTCAATATGGAAATTGGTTTACTGGAATTAACTGGTAGCTGGTACCAGTTGATTCCAATTAGTTAACTGGATTCAATATGGATATTGGAATACTGGAATCAACTGGTAACCCAATGATTCCAGTTGGAATACCAGTTGTCAACTGGTACCAGTTGGATCCATTTTACCAATTTCCATATTGGAAACAAACAGTTGATCAATAACCAGTGATTACCAGTAGCGACCAGCAATCAGTTGATAATCAATAATCAATATTGCTTAGCATCTGGCAACCAACTAAACCATATTTACTAGACTCTTGCTAGACCCCATCACATAATCATTGAGGCGCATTACATTTGAGTATAAGATAATTAAGTACTAGCGAGCTAACATGCAAATTAATCATGAATATGCATTAGATACATTGAACTGGTTTTTCAACTGGTATTCTACTGGTTTCAACCGGTAAATCAACTGGCAATCATGTACTGGTTTTCAACTGGTAAATCATCTGGTAATCATCTACAGGTTTCAACTGGTAATTCAAGTGGTAATCATGTATTGGTTTTCAAATGGTAAAGCAACTGGTAATCATGCATCTACTGGTTTCCAACTGGAATCAGCTGGTATCAAATACATGCCTGTATAATATAGTAGTCTGCTTCGGAATGCTTCGGAAATACTAGTTGAAAATAAATAAATGATTCCGTTGTCCGGGTATTTGCCTGATGAGGCCACATCGCTGCGAAACTTCAATTTTCTTTTGTTCAGACGTTTCGAGGAATCATTTATGCATTCATTTTCAATTTGTCACGTACCATGTCACGTACACCCGACCTGGCTTTTATCGTCTCGAAATTGTGAAAACAAATTATGATTCTTACTGGATTCCGAAGTGGGCCTATTGCAGTTATTTGAACCAGATAGATTTATCGCTTTGGTCTCAGACCACCTGGGCTATACATGCACGCAGAGTACAAGAAAAATAATCAGCAAATAGATTTTGAGGCCATTGAACAAATTGTAATAACAATGTAATGAAAACTCTAAAACCGTAAAGCAGGCATAAAATTTCGCGTCCCAAATCTCGGATACGTTGCAAGTTTTTGGCATAATGTAGATAATAAACGAGCCACAGAAAATACATTTTCTAACGCTCGATTCCTTCGCTTTCACCGTCTTAGTGAATTAATTCCAGAGGGCACAGTCATGTACAATTTCATTGCTAAGTATTGTCGATTGTTGCTTTAAAAAAAAAATTGGCATACTATCTTAGGTCTCTATATAGGGTTGATTTAGTTGAAGAAACACGCAGGTTGATGTTTAATAAAACGATGAAATAAAAATGATAATATTTCATTTGTCCTGTCTTATTTAATAAACACTGGTACAGGGTAAAGGAGGAGGAAATTAAGAGAGGAAAAGAAAGAGAGAGAGAGAGAGAGAGAAAGAGAGAGAGGAAAGGGGAGGAATGAGGATGAGAGAGAGAGAGAGAGAGAGAGAGAAGAAAAAGTGAGCGAATACAAAATTAGAAGGTTAATAACGTCCAATGTATTCAAAATATAGTTGTATGCCTATCTCCAACAAAACATTACAAATCAATTATTCGTTTACTATAAGGAAACAGAGGGGTCCACTAAAATAAAGCATTGCTTGTACAATTATTGTAGTCCCCTCAAATGATAGTTAGGAATAATGATAAATTAAATTGACAAAATCGTAACTACAAAAAGGAACTAAAATAGGAAATAAAGGGGAGACGAGAACTGGACAAGAGAGTACTTTAAGGCCAATAAATTATTGGAGAATACGGTCACAATACAAAAAGTATAATAGACAATGCCAAATAAGCAGGCGCGTAGCCACGGGGGGCACGGGGGGGGGGGGGGGGGGGCACGTGCCCCCCCCCTAAAATTTCCAGGATCGGTTAAAATTTTGGAGACCCCTTTTTTTGACCTCGATCGATTACATGTATGTGCCCCCCCCCCCCCACACACACATTAAACTCTGGCTACGCGCCTGCAAATAAGAAGTAAGAGATCGGGGTACAGAAAATAATGCAAAAGGATGAGCTGCATGAGGGGTTGAGAAGAAGATGAGGAAGGAGAAAATGCGCATTAGAAAGGAGATATGCATGACAGGGCACAATATAGTTTATCTAATTTCATTATGAGTCAGAATTCTGAAATCATGGACGCGTATACGTCACCACGATTCGTAGTCGGCCGGGTTTCTTCTCCGACTAGAATCATCTTGCCATCTGTTCGATATTTCAGTTCATATGACAATAGGGGATCTTAATCAGAAATATTTTTTGTACTGGCTGACATTTTCATAACTGACCTTAATTGTTTCATTTTCTTTATGGTTAAGGCATAGTTTCGTGAAACCGTCTTAAGTACAAGATCACCGACATTCCTCTCAGAGCTCCTCGTTTTCTGTCACCTTCTCTTTCTCCCTCACTCTTCATTTCTGTTCTACTCCATGCGACTCCTCCCTCTCTCTCTCTCTCCCTCTCTCTCTTTCTCTCTCTCTCTCTCTCTCTCTCTCTCTCATTTGTTCTTTTCTGTGTTTTTTTCCTCATACTCCATTTCTAGGAGAGAAGGGGTGAATGTTCAAAGCACTTTTATTTCATGCATTCTGTGCTTTGTCGAGATTCAATTTTTAATGTCCGTTTTCAAAGTTACATGTCAGTTTTTATTATTATTAGTATCATTATTGTTGTATTTTCTTTGTATCCCCGAGTGTATTTATATATTGTTTGTGTTGCTTGTATGTATGTCACTTGCCAGTGGAGGACGAATTTCTGTATTTTTAAATCAGATGTTAAATTATCTTGAATTTAAACGAATGTTAATGACAACACAGATGTCGGTGAATTTGTAATTACGACAATATTTCGTGAAACGCTGCCCTATATAGTCGTGAGGGCGAAAAATGGGGGGGGGGGGGGGGGGGGGGGGGGGGGGGAGGTCAAATGGAATTACTAGCATCTCCGAGTATGTATAGACCCACAGCAACGGGCCGTACAGACAAGATTGAACTTCATGTTCGTCGTAATAGTCTTCACAATACGACGATAATAATTATCGGGTATAATTTAAATGAAATCGCTCATATGGCAACTAGAATACACTCGCGCGCTTTTGTTTTGATTGGCACAGTTCAATCCTGATAATTCGTATCAAGAGAGTCAACGGTATTAAAACATCTTGATCACAAGTCGAATTTAATTCTGGACAAAGGAAAAATCATTTTGCAGTTATCTGACAATCAGATTTACCAAGGGAAAGGGCTTAATCCCAGGTAAGTCGAGATTCTTAATCTCAGTTTAGTTTATTTCAAATTTCCACATCTGATTTTTATGACATAATCATACATAAAAAGGCGCGATAAGGCTGATTGTTAAAACAACCCTATAGAGAAGCATTTTCGTAACCGGGTGGTCCATGTTTCGATACCAAGTCAATGCACTAGTGCCGTTTATCCTCATTAACAAGTTCCTCGGAGAGGACTTAAAACCGCCGGTCCCCTGGCTGCTTACTTACAAGCATACACATGCTTTCTAAACAGTCAGATAAACACGAATCATAAAACCTTCGAGAAAAATAGAAAAGAAGGACATATTATGTTAATAAAGCATACACCATACAACGATTGAAGAAATATGATTGTACATGATTGTGTATAATAATGTTCGACAACTACAAGTAAAATAATTTTAAAACATCGCAGGATACTTAAAGTAAAACATGACAAAAGACAACATATGAGGTCATTATGAGGGAACTTAGTAAAGAGGCAGGGCCTGATTAGTCAGAAAATAAATTGCACCCATATTTTGAACTATAGAGAAAATCGGAAAGTAGAAAATGTTGGTATTATAATTTTTCCCGAGTCGAGCAATCTCCCTTCTCTCTCATTCTCTCTCTCTCTCTCTCTCTCTCTCTCTCTCTCTCTCTCTCTCTCTCAGTGAGAGATCTTACACGGTCTAGAAGACTTGGTCATTTTATCAGCGCACCCTTATGGCATTATCGCATCAACATTATTTAAGTAGGCCGACTCTTTGGTCTGTATTGTACTATGGTCTTTAAAATTTACAATCCTGACAATGGAATTCCTTGGGGAGACACGCGAATTAATTTATGAGCATCCAAATATATTCGTCAGTAAAATCATTCCTGTTCAGGGCATTTCCATTTTTGTTACCCGCCCAATCAATTTAATTTAGGGCCAAAAAAAAAATCGTTGACGTATAATGAAGTCGTAACATTTCGATTTCGAATTTCCTGCCTTGAATTTCGAGGACCGTGCATTCAAATTAACACAATATACCCGAGGAGCCTGTTTTGGCTTTCATTTTCATTTTGGGAAATTCAATTTATCGTTTCATTCATTAAATTTTAGTTTCATGGATTTTGCGTGTTTGTGTTTTGTCTCTCTATATATATATATGCCTTTTCGTGTATTCTATCTTTGATCCGTATATTTACAAATAACAGTTAAACCCGAGTTTTTCCCGACCCTTTGTCTAAAATCCCGTCTAACAAAAGGGAATCTGGAAAAAGGAAGAAAAAAACTTCCTTTGTTCAACCCGATTTTGTACAAAAGCGTAAACACAAATTTTAGCAGAATACCAGAGCATTTGTGTTTATGATGGGATTTCTTGTTGTCTCCTAAATCGATTCCTAAGGCGATTTCAAAACTTTTACATTTTTAACGATTATTACACTGACAGTATATTATGATTGTTAAATTTCTTGTTTATTTCCATCAGTGTTCTTATTATTTCTGGATTGTCTGTTTTAAACCAAATGCCTAGACCTAGACCTCTAAAAGTTAGATCTAGATCTAGACAGAAATAACCATCTGATTTGGGTCATTTCTTTAATAAAACTGACATTTGTTGTCATTCCCCAATACACCAGAGATCTCGTACCGTGGGGTTAATTTAGAGCCACAGGGGAACATCTTTTCGTTCCCGACATTTCTCCCCCGATTTTCTTTATTTAGATCTAATTTTCTGATTTCTAAATCAGATGTAAATTAGGTCGGTAGACTATGTCATTTGTCCTAATTACAGTTATCAAAATTTGATAACTTAATATTAAATGTATAATTTACGGACTTACTTATATAAATTATTATCCAATTTGTATAACAGTACGTTCATGCACTCGAACATAGGGCTATATGACCCGGCGGCAAAAATATTTCCTGGTCAACCTACCAAAACATAGCCAAATGGCCAATCAGAGCACTCGTTTCGTGGGAGTTCGTTGGTCAAGCTGGGCTGACTCGTACGTAGCTACGGTAGCTACCGGATGTTCGAAAAGAAAAAATGAATATTCATCAACTAAAACCAAGACGGATAATGTTGACGACGAGACTTTCTCGGATTAATCATTAATTTAGGATCTAAATGAGCAAGCTATCGTAAGTCAAATAAGCTATATATATGTTATTTTTAATTTTTATTATAATTGCAGCAGTTATGAGGATGTAAAGAGTGAAAATCTCGTTGCATATCTCATTCATCGCGGTCCGGTTCGAACCGAACCATTTGTTTCGTACAGTCCCGTACAGTCCCGATAGGCCATACTTCAGTCTCTATAATCGGAGGTCTAGTGGAGCCAGACGTAGTCTCAGTGGAACAACCGACGATTAGAGAGACTGAAGTTTTCGGTCTAAACCCTACCCTATCCGACCTCTCCCTTATCCCCCCCCCCCCCCCCCCCTCTTAACCGGTGGACAACTGGCTCTGGGTTCCAATTGTTTGTCTTATACTCAGGTTTTCCCATTTAGAAAAATGAATAGTGAGAGTTCCCCTCATTGCTGCCAATTTCCTTTCTTCTACTTTATCCCCTATTATACTATTTTAAAAGAGGGTGGTTTTTAAGTTCTCTATTTCTATAAATCAGATATTTAACAAGAATTAAAACATGATTCATTAATTGATATTTTCCTTTATTTCTCTCCTCTTTCCCATACAAAATTTCCTCCAAACTACGGTTATGTATTTCAAAGTCTAAAAATCTCGTGCACATTCCCCACACTGATTGTGCAAATTCACAAGTATAGAATAAATGTTTATATGTTTCTTCATCTTTTTCGCAAAATGAGCATAAGTTAGTCGAGACAAGACCAAAACGGAAGAGGTGATGGTTTGTATATAATATATTATGTATAAGTTTGAACTGAAACTCTCTTAATCGACTGTTAAGTGTACACTGTCTTAGTCTTAAAAATATGTTTTCTATTTCCTTACAGGAAAAACCATTGTTCCTTCCAATTCTCTCAAAAACCAAAGGTTTAAAATCATCTTTCTTTATTAATTGTACATAAATTTGTTTTGATTTTAGATCAGCTATATTAGTTGTTTTCTTCCCCAAAGTGAAATCAGTTCCAGAATTATTTTTTTCTTCTCCCTTTCTAAAATTATTTTTCCAACAAACTGGTAAACAGGCATACAAGTGCTTGATCTTTTCAATTTCATTTACTTCAACACCTAAATCGATAAAATGCCTGTCACATTTTAGTTTACCATCGTTTTCCAGAATATGTTTTAATTTGTAAATTCCTTTGTCATACAACCTCTTATCGTATATACAACTTCCTTTATATCGAATAAGTTTATTATTAAAAATTACCACATCACCAATGTCTATACTCCTTATATGTCTCGTATTCACCCAATCTTCTAATAAATCCATATAAAATTGTGGAGCTGTCACTTTTAATAAACTTGGTATATAGTCACATGAAAATATCAAATCTCCATCCACGTGTTCAGTGACAAAATTATTATATTATATTATATTATAAAGTTACTCGAATTTCTTTTCTTTTTTTAAAATCCAGACTTATCTCTCCAGCTAACGAAGACCTACAAGCTAAAGAAACAAAGTGGCCACTTCAGATCCACAATGTCGGCTAAGTTGGGGAAACTAACCCACGATGAGCCTCCGATGTACCTCCAGCGCCCCTCCTCGGGTCGATCCCAGGACGTGACCCATGTCTTGGCCAGGACCTTCAGAGACATCTTCACAAGAGACTTGGTGGAGCAGGAGACGGTTAAGAATCTCAACAAGTGAGAAATACGTGGAAGAACTTAGAAAGGTAATGCCAAATGAGCACAACTAATCTATGGGCTTCAATCTGCTGACATGGGAAAGTGTGCATACATAATTATGTAATGCACTTTAAGCATGCTTATTGAATTAGAAAATCATGAAGTGTTATGAGTTTAATGTTTAGTGTTTAGAGGAGAGAGAGAGGGAGAAAGAAATGAGTGGAGAGGATTAGAGATACAGTGAAAACTAGAAGTTGGAGGCACAGAGAGAGAGAGAGAGAGAGGAAGAAAAAGGATAGGGGAGAGAAAGAAAAAGAAGGAATAAACCTAACTCTACTGTAGTACATCCTAATTTAACGTACCGGTATGTGAATATTATTTGATTTTGCACTGCGGAAGAATGCAGAAGTAGAAACTGGTATAATGCCTTGAATAAAATTATATAAAGAGCTTTTTGTTGTTAAAGTACCTTATATTAACACAGATGTTTCATTCTATGAAATGGCATGCCTGTTTGTATCGAGAAGGGCGTTAACTCTATGTTAAAGAGCATACAATAATGAGTTAACCCCCCTCTGGCTCTCAGCTAGCATAGATACTCATCCTAACTTAAAATGTTTCGTATTCAGGTTCAAATATAGAAGGCTATTGGAGATGGGTATAGAAAATGAGAGAAAAGAGGAAAGAGGTGCCCGGTCTCTACATAACACAACCATCAGAATATTTATTTCTCCAAGTGTCAGGGCCGTCACGAACGAAGCAACGATCATCACAGCGAAATTGGGGAAGCATACGTCAGCAATAAGAGAAAGTTCATTGATGATTGTCAACACCATGTGCCAGTCGTGAGCGGTGATGAACTTCGGTTTCAGGATCATACCACCTAAGCATCGGCCAATGAAGCAGGCTACGGCTGCAGTGTAGGAAAGGTAAAGAGCCCTGGAGGAAGGCAACCATCGGCGGACAGCGCGCGGAATGAGGAAGGAGAAGGTGGTATATGCTGTCAGGATCACAAAAAGACATCTATCACGGTTAAAAACTGAATCAGCAAGAAAGCTCGTATCGTGATGAACAAGTAATCTTCGAGCACATTGAATCATTATCTGACTGGACTGGGTATTTTTCATCTCTGGTTATAAGTAATTGACGGCTTTGATCTTTTGTTTCTTGTTCACTGTTGTCGTCCATGTCATTCATAGACGGATTTTCCTCTTCACTTCTTGCAGCTCCTCTCTCGATCAGGCCTTTATCAGTCTCTACGAGAAGCACAAGGGGTATTATATATTTGCCATGATGGCTCCGATAATAATGAAAGATCCTCTCCAACCATAGATATTTTTCAGGTAGTCGGCCAGCAGTGGGAACACGCTCATACCTAGTGAATATCCTGATTTTCCGATGCCAAAGAGAAGATCAAATTTGTCTCCGCTTTGTTCACTTAGAGCTATTAGGGACTTTTAGATTCGCACGAAGACAATGGGGATTGCTACGGTCGACGTCCTTTTAATGCACTGCCTTGAATGGACGTCCTACGTATCAGCCCACGCAAATCTAAAAGTCCCTATTACGAGAGTGATAGACGTGATGACGCCCAAACCTAGTAACACAGGTACAAGAATTTCAAGAACAAAAACCAATTATTTAAAATAGCATCAAGCCTATGGATTGTCTGATGGGCCTTTTTTATAAGACGGAAAAAATAGATAGGTTATAAACGTGGGAATTTTTTTGTTTAGGCTTTCGTGATATGACAGCAATTAAGACAAAAGTAAGTCGTTAATCTTACATAGTGATAGCTTAGGCCTTAGGACTTTGAAATTGAAATAAAATCTGGATATTTTCTCATTGAAGAAAAACAATTATAATTTATTATCATATTTGTCCACAGTTGATCTTGCAAACATCAAAGCAAATATCAAAGTATTGAAGTCATTAAAGTATTAAAGTCATTTTTCATTCAACTTAATCAATGGTCAATCAATTTCAACACTTGTGCATTTATTTTCATCAGATTTAATTCCTATTCGTCCCACCTGGTGGTTATCTGTAGGATGCAATAATCAAATTCGTCAATGTGCAATCGATTCCAAGAACGTTTCCTCAAAATTCGTTGATAGACAAGATATTGAAATACAACTCTCCTAAAGACAAGAATGACATTTTGTCATGGTTTTTGTATGACTCCTTAAATATCGATAAGGTAAATAAAAATACTTACCTTAATTGACAGGTTAATATAAATTTTTTCTTTTATGGTTAAGATATTTACGAATAAAACCTAAATTGCGTAACTGATAACATACTGATTTTGAGGCATATTGAATTCATGTAATCTCCACCCCGGTAACAGTGAAGTTTCTGTCCCCCATGTTTCCCTACTCTACTTAAATGAAATGACAAAGCATAATCTGCCCATGTCTGTGTCATATTTTTTTTTTTTTTTAAAAACATCTCCTAATTGTGTCCTATTCATTTTAGTCTTATTCATTTGCATTATGTTTTATTCTTTCAAGTTCTAATGTTTCTGACTGTTTTCAAGACAATATCTTTTTTTGTCGATCATAGTTTTTTGTAGCTTAATATCTCATGGTAATTTTGAGGGAAAAGCAATCCAAGCAACGATTTCAAGAATTGTAGCGACACTCGGTCGCCTTTGCTGCTCTTCAATAATACTATGACAAGCAGTATTAATTAATTTTTCAAGGACTCATGATAAATTCGTTTAACAGTTGATTCCCCTCGGTATGATAATTAACCAAATATCCATTAGTAGGCGGTTTCCCGGCAAAATTTGTATCATCACGTATTAGTCAAAACATATCTTTTCACATGATTGGTAATTAAGAGCTTCCATTTCATTTTTTGAGAGGGGGCGTTTCCAAAACTGGAATTAGGTGTGGGTTCCTGCGAATTATAATTTGTCATCAACGACTGTCATCAATGGATTCAACACAACATAAAGCATATGTTTTAGTAATCTTATCAGTAAAATACATAAATGCCCCCAAAACGATGAAATATGGGTTGAATTAACAAGTACACTTATTATAACACAATTAGATATGTATGTCATAAAATATATCATATAACTATAGTTTGATGCTCTTGAAACACTTATGTTACATTTGGGCGCTTGACATTAAATGTTGGGTACCTGAGACATATTTGGCAATCGAACCCTCGTACTCACAATGTATCATTTTATATTTTGATACCGAATTCGATATTTACTGGGACTCTATACCTCAGAAAATAGTTTAAAGCATTCATTTTGACTGTCTACAGTTGCTGTTTCTTTTAGTCCTTTTAGAGCAACTTCAGAGTGCCTATAGTCTTGTGTGGGTCATAAACTATACCATTTTCACTGTAATGTTCATAGTGAGTTTTTTTCTACACCAAACAAAAATTCAGTCTAAATTTGTGTTCTAGCAGAAATGCATAAAAACGCATACAATTTGGAAACTTTGGGCACCGATTTGCAAAACTATATACGTCGGTGGCATCGTTTTTAGCATTAAATTGTAATAAAATACAATTTATAAAGGGTGTCTTTAAAATTCTAAAACGACTCCCTTTTGTTAGGGGGGGGGGGGGTGTATGAACACCCAAAATCTAATAAATTATCTATAAATGTAAAGAAATGTAATTATATGATTTTTCACAATGGAAAGAATGTAGATTTAAATGATTTCAATATTGTTCTTGATAATGTCATATTGCCAAGGGTAGATAAAGTCAAATTTCTTGGCGTTTATTTAGATAGTTCCTTGTCTTGGAAATACCATATTCACGAAGTTGAAAGTAAGGTGTCCAAAAACATTGGCATTATATCCAGACTCAAACATCTCTTGCCTAATCACATTCTACGTATGTTATATTGTGCTCTTATACTTCCATATTTTTCTTACTGTAATCTTGTTTGGGCGAATTCCTGCAAGTACAAAATACAAAAGCTTATACTATTGCAGAAGAAGATTATTCGTATAATATCCGGAATGCACTATCGTTCCCATACTGGTCCCATCTTTAAACAAATTATTTTCTTGAGATTCAGTGATATTAACTTGCACCAACAGGGTATTTTCATGTATAAAAGCATGAATAACATCTTCCCATCACAATTTAGTGATTTTATCAATTTTAAATGCAACTCGGAAACCCATACGTATAATACGAGAAGCGCTGCCAACATTCGTCTCCCTAAACATAGAACCCGAAGATTTCAATTTGACATTCGATACTCTGGACCAAAATTTTGGAACACCTTACCATCTATTCTACACAAATCGCTCTCCTTGCAGACTTTTTCCCGTAAGGCAAAAATGTATTTAATTGCTCGATATTGATACCCTCTCTTGTATTTATGTGTGAAATGATCTTTTGTGGAATTTAATGACATCTTTGTATGACCGATTTTTTAATTTTGATAACTTGTTGCTATTACCATCTGTACATTCCCAGGACAATGCTGTCGGATAAAGCTGTTGTCTGTTTGATGATTTTGCTTGTTTGTAATGATATGTACCCGCTGTCTATTTTACAATTGTACTTCGTTATCTTTATGATGTAATCGCAGACACATGTACAGCCCAATTGATATAACTTTCTCTTTATAAGTGAACATGCCTTCCTATACTTAATTCTCTCCTCTCTTCCTTTCACTATGTTTTCTTTCCTATCAACGTTCTTTTATATACAATGTAATTTTCATAATAATGTCTATAATGTTCTTTCGGTAACTGTGTTAATTTATTATGGGCGTTCCCAACTCAAGCTACGCTTTCCGGGTTTTCGCCTCCTTCCGTATCTGAATTAATTACGGTATACTCTATGTTGAAGTAATTGTTACATATATCATGTATATATACATTGTGTTTTATATTGTGCTGTTGAGAAGGAAATAAATGTTAATAAATACAAATACAATACAAAAACACCCCCTTGCTACGCCCATTGCTAATCATTTGTTTAATGATTCCAAAACCTTACAATATGCATATAATATTGGATGGCTTTGAATGT